GATTTTGACAAACTATAGCTTGTTGGATAGCGGATGAATAGGCCAACAAGCTGACAAATCGGCAAGGCTTCAGACTTGAAACCGTTGGAATGAGCCCCAGACGTAGGTACATGATGCCCTCAGTTTCGTTTTTGTGCAGTAAGTCCCATAGCAAGGGCTGTCAGCGCCAGTCGACACGGCTCTCATGTGTCGCGGTCTAAAGGTACCTTAACATAGAAGGATTTTGACAAACTGTAGTTTGGTGGATAGCAGATCAATAGGCCAACAAGCTGACAAATCGGCAAGGCTTCAGACTTGAAACTTTTGGAGTGAGCCCCAGACGTAGGTACATGATGCCTCCAGTTTCGTTTTTGTGCAGTAAGTCCCATAGCAAGGGCTGTCAGCGCCTTCCGACATGGCTCTCATGCGTCGCGGTCTAAAGGTACCTTAACATAGAAGGATTTTGACAAACTATAGCTTGTTGGATAGCGGATGAATAGGCCAACAAGCTGACAAATCGGCAAGGCTTCAGACTTGAAACTGTTTGAGTGAGCCCGAGACGTAGGTACATGATGCCTCCAGTTTCGTTTTTGTGCAGTAAGTCCCATAGCAAGGGCTGTCAGCGCCAGTCGACACGGCTCTCATGTGTCGCGGTCTAAAGGTACCTTAACATAGAAGGATTTTGACAAACTGTAGCTTGGTGGATAGCGGATCAATAGGCCAACAAGCTGACAAATCGGCAAGGCTTCAGACTTGAAACTTTTGGAGTGAGCCCCAGACGTAGGTACATGATGCCTCCAGTTTCGTTTTTGTGCAGTAAGTCCCATAGCAATTGCTGTCAGCGCCAGTCGACCTGACTCTCATGTGTCGCGGTCTAAAGGTACCTTAACATGGATGGATTTTGACAAACTATAGCTTGTTGGATAGCGGATGAATAGGCCAACAAGCTGACAAATCGGCAAGGCTTCAGACTTGAAACGTTTGGAGTGAGCCCCAGACGTAGGTACATGATGCCTCCAGTTTCGTTTTTGTGCAGTAAGTCCCATAGCAAGGGCTGTCAGCGCCAGCCGACATGGCTCTCATGTGTCGCGGTCTAAAGGTACCTTAACATAGAAGGATTTTGACAAACTATAGCTTGTTGGATAGCGGATGAATAGGTTAACAAGCTGACAAATCGGCAAGGCTTCAGACTTGAAACTGTTGGATTGACCCCAGACGTAGGTACATGATGCCCCCAGTTTCGTTTTTGTGCAGTAAGTCCCATAGCAAGGGCTGTCAGTGCCAGCCGACACGGCTCTCATGTGTCGCGGTCTAAAGGTACCTTAACATGGATGGATTTTGACAAACTATAGCTTGGTGGATAGCGGATGAATAGGCCAACAAGCTGACAAATCGGCAAGGCTTCAGACTTGAAACATTTGGAGTGAGCCTCAGACGTAGGTACATGATGCCTCCAGTTTCGCTTTTGTGCAGTAAGTCCCATAGCAAGGGCTGTCAGCGCCAGTCGACATGGCTCTCATGTGTCTCGGTCTAAAGGTACCTTAACATGGATGGATTTTGACAAACTACAGCTTGTTGGATAGCGAATGAATAGGCCAACAAGCTGACAAATCGGGAAGGCTTCAGACTTGAAACTTTTGGAGTGAGCCCCAGACGTAGGTACATGATGCCTCCAGTTTCGTTTTTGTGCAGTAAGTCCCATAGCAAGGGCTGTCAGCGCCTTCCGACATGGCTCTCATGCGTCGCGGTCTAAAGGTACCTTAACATAGAAGGATTTTGACAAACTGTAGCTTGGTGGATAGCGGATCAATAGGCCAACAAGCTGACAAATCGGCAAGGCTTCAGATTTGAAACTTTTGGAGTGAGCCACAGACGTAGGTACATGATGCCTCCAGTTTCGTTTTTGTGCAGTAAGTCCCATAGCAAGGGCTGTCAGCGCCAGTCGACCTGACTCTCATGTGTCGCGGTCTAAAGGTACCTTAACATGGATGGATTTTGACAAACTATAGCTTGTTGGATAGCGGATGAATAGGCCAACAAGCTGACAAATCGGCAAGGCTTCAGACTTGAAACTGTTGGAGTGAGCCCGAGACGTAGGTACATGATGCCCCCAGTTTCGTTGTTGTGCAGCAAGTCCCATAGCAAGGGCTGTCAGCGCCACTCGACATGGCTCTCATGTGTCGCGGTCTAAAGGTACCTTAACATGTATGGATTTTGACAAACTATAGCTTGTTGGATAGCGGATGAATAGGCCAACAAGCTGACAAATTTGCAAGGCTTCAGACTTGAAACCGTTGGAGTGAGCCCCAGACGTAGGTACATAATGCCCTCAGTTTCGTTTTTGTGCAGTAAGTCCCATAGCAAGGGCTGTCTGTGCCAGTCGACATGGCTCTCATGTGTCGCAGTCTAAAGGAACCTTAACATGGATGGATTTGACAAACTATAGCTTGTTGGATAGCGGATGAATAGGCCAACAAGCTGACAAATCGGCAAGGCTTCAGACTTGAAACTTTTGGAGTGAGCCCCAGACGTAGGTTCATCGTTCCCAAGCCTGCATGTAGCCATTTTACAAGTTGCATCCATCCATTTTCTCAGGCAAATAGGACCAATTTTTCAACCGTAATTTTATCAAGCCTGCTCTCGCTGAGATGGAAGCCTAAAAATCAGGGAGTTGGTGTTTGGCTATTTTTACACAATTTCGCCGTTTTTAAAGCCAAACTGTCTCCCTTTTGAAAAGAAATTTCCCGACATCTTACTGATGAGGTGTCGGACTTATTGTCCTGAAGCCCATCGCCATTTTGAAAAACGATGCCTACACGTTATGGTAAAATAGAGCGCTTTAAAGGGATCCAATTTCATTAAAATTGAACGGAACTACAAGCTCACAGTCCTGAGCACGGCTTCTACCCATATTTTTTTAAAACCCTCAAGTTCAGGGCCCACAGAATTGTCAAATACTGAAGATTTTGAGGACATGCAAATCGTGATTTGGCCGGCGTAGGCAATTTCGGACCGATTTACTGGTCTGCTACCTTACTCTATGGCGGCGTCGGACTTATGATACGACGCGTACGGTGCGCCTACAGCATGTGCACGGCCGGCTCGCGCTACACATCCCCAGGATCCGTGGGAACCCGTCTGTGAACCAAGGTCCGCGCCAGCGCGACCGTTTTAGCCGATTCTCGGCTAACTTTGACAGAACTTTTGTTTAAAAGAATGAGTTTGACAGAAAATTTGACAGAATGGATTTTGTTTTGGAAGGTTTCAGCATATGGAGGTACAATTGTTGTTTCAGGCAGAATGCTGCAAAAATGGTTCTGACAGAAAAACAGCTAATTTGAACCAAAATTCGTACATTCGTTTAAAAAAGTTTCAATCCTTTCAAACAAACCCTTGCGTAATGGGAGAGGTTCTACTTCTAAATAGATCGATCTATCACTGGGAAACGGAATTTGTCGTGGCCGGATCCACGTACGTTTTGCCTGAAATTTACCTATGTTAATAATTTCATAACTATCTTTATGCGACTATAATCTGCATGTGATTTTAAGTGTCTATAGCGTATTTCGAGTAATGGGAATTTGGCAGATTTTTGATAAATCTGACAGATTTTTGATGTGCATTTAGCAGAATTTGGCTCTCTGACCTTACGGTCACCCTGGTCCGCACCGCGCCGCGTTGTGCAGTGAACGTGTGTGTACATACTCTTTGGTACGTACGGATCTAGGGCCCTAGGCCTAGTATCATTACTATACTTTACTACTAGTCGTGAGAAGGGGCTCAACCTTAGCTGAGGAAAGTTCGTTTTCAGCCAATAGTCAAGCATGGATGTCAAGTTTGATGGCAAAAGAGCGTTGGTTACAGGAGCAGGAAAAGGTGTGATTATCGTTCAAACAAATGATTCTTAGGCATGTCAATTGTCATTTATCTATTAAATGCTCATCAGGATTTCCAATGCATGGCAATAGGCCTGTGAGTGTGTAGCCCCATAAATGTGGCCTATTTACTGGACTGCCTCCGTAAACATAGGCCACACATCCACATGTACAAAAACGTGTCGCCAAATTTTGATTTTCACATTTAGGCTTAGTTTGTAGGTTTTTTTTGCTTTAGAAACATACTAACCCTCTTTATAGGCTAGTCAGAAAGTGCTGCCTTTTTCAGATGTCCATTTTTCGTGAAATTTCCAGATACATTTCCACACGTTTGCGTATCAAAATATTAACATGAAATTTCACAAAAATTAGACATCTGAAAGAGGGGTAATCCTTACTTTTAGGACCCCGTTCCTATATAGGAAGGGAAAGACTCACCAAAACAGTTGACTAAAATGACACTCAAAATTGACATTCTGATTTACTCTGATACTTCTTGGCACATCTGAACAATTGGCAATGACACCTTCTTGAATATCAGTAGGTTTAATTTTGTGGAAAGAGGGCAGGGCTTTGATTTATGAGGGAAATTCAGGGGTAAAAGACGACGATGACAACCAGAAAACATGAGTCAAAAACCAAGATGGCAAACGCGAAAGCTCGATGCGATGAAAGCTCGATGCTGATTGGCTGATAAAAAATAAACATCTTATTTATTTTTAGTCTGGTTCCTAGACCAAAAGATTCAGGAGTAGTCAGAATCTTTTGGTCTGGGAACCAGACTAATTAATTTTTTTAGCAGCCAATCAGCATCGGGCTTTCATTATGTAGGGCTTTCACGCGTGTGAGAACTACAACATGCACGTCTTCCTGCGAAAAAAGGTATGAAAGTCACATTTTCTTCGAAAGTGCTTTCCAAACAGTTTATATGAAGAAAAAAGACTGCTTTAGCCTGCAAAAGTCACTTTGGTACTGGACAGTCATCTGCAAAAGTCAGTTTTGAACAGAACTTGTAAAAAAAATCGAGGTGTCCTAAAAGTAAGGATTACCGAAAAAGGCAGCACTTTCTGATTAGCCTATAAAGAGGATGAGAATGCTTCTAAAGCAAAAAAAAACCTACAAAGTAAGCCTAAATGTGAAAATCAAAATTTGGCAAAGTGCGACACGCTAATCGAGGGGGCGTGCCCGGGGGATGTTCTTTTTTATGGGGGGGGAATCAGAGAGGTCCTTTGTATGGTAATCATTTGCAGTCGATTCAAAGTCATATCAAGGAGCCTGTATCCAATATAACATATTTGGCGCGGTTTAATCTTCATTGCAATATCTATTTTGTGGAAAGACATTGACAACTTTTGTGCATGTGCACTGTTTCATATTATTCACACACCAAGCATTATATATGTATCTAACCACTTGAAGCAAGTTCCACACAAATATTCTCCCCCTAAAATAGGTTTTTTTCATCTTCAATTCCAAATAGGATGGTATCAAAGATGTAGTTTCTACCAAAACCAATCACACAAATTATGTATAAAATAAGAATTAAAAGTTTTGGTCTACGCAAAAGAATCCGCGAAGCTCTTCTCGGTACAGATTTTCTTCTTTTTTTATAGATTTTAATAAATCTTATGACCAAAGATCACTATGATGCCAATCATTCCTATTAGTCCCAGGCCACACCCCTTGCATGTCCAAACTCCGCCCACTGGCCCCGCCCCGTTGGTGCCAAAGTCCGGTTCGTCGTCGTTGCATAGGTGTGATTGACAGCAGGAGCGGCAGGGCCCCGAGCGTGACAGCTCCAGGCAGGTCGACTCCTCTGTGCACTCCAGCTCTGTGGTGCACCCGCGCTTCATGTAGGACCGCACCCCCGCATGGGTGGTGACGTCCGTCTAGGGAAAAGTGGGCGGGAAAGGAGACATAATTATTGATATTGCAACCGATAAAGCAATAATCAAAGGTGGCCATCGAATACGAAATGAGATTTACATAATACAAGCTTGTGACACGCCCCTACCGTGACTAGGTCGTAGCTTCATCATACACGCGCAACTGTATACTAGCGCCCATTGGCTAACCACTTTGCTCTATACTTCAGATTCCAACGGTTCCAATGGTTCAAATGCTACGTATGTACAGTGGGCATGGTTTAAACTGAAGTAAGGATATTGGTTATAGGCCACAAACCCTACCCACCTTTGGTTGTGTTTATTTTGTCATAATGAATCTGACTGAGCTACCGTGGTCACGTGACCAAAGGCCATGATCTATTGGTCAATGGGCATTGTTTAATTGACGCAATGGAAGGGTCCATTGCAGAAAAGGGTTGGGTAAGGAGACTGAATTATAAGAAAACGGTGAAGACCTTGTAGAAAATTGCTTATTTGAGCGGGGAAAAAACTGTTTAGATTTATTGCGTACGCCCTATCATGGAGCTACATGTATAAGGCCGGCCCTATGTAATTTAAATACAATTTTGAGAGTTGTGGTTTATTTGATCATTTAAATATAGCGAGAGACCGGTTTTGAAAACTACATGAAACGTTCGTCGAGTGTCCCAGCAATGTCAGTTGATACTTGTGCAAGCTTACACACAGAATGAAGTATAGCCCTCTCGTCCCCAGGGCTTCCCACAGTCTTAATGCGCGCCAAGCATAATAATGACGCCTGAATTAATGATGAGGTTGATCGGCCGAGCAGAATAAGTAGTTGCGCAAGATTCAGTCGACATGATCAAATCATTTTTGACATTGAATATCCAAATGTACTTATTTACAACAAGTATTCCAATTTGGGGCATGACAGTGGCATTTTAAATGGATACAAGTGTCACTTACGTAACAAAATGTCTTGCATTTTGTGGTGGAGTTGTAGTCTGGTCCCGTTTCGCAGCTCGACTCAGGGCTGAGTAATGACGCACAGTCGTAGCATCTAAACTCTGCGGCGGTAGCAAGACCTACGAAAATGCAACCTGCATAAAAAATGTCAACACTTTTTTCAGTGAATGTTTAAATAATTTCATTCTTCATACGTAATTGGTAAAAATAAAAAAGACATTTTTTAAAAACTAATTAAACAGGGCAGGCCTATTATACCTTTGTAATGTAATTTCTTTAATATCTGTTCTTACAGAATGATTTTCTATTACAGAAAAAACATTTTTTAGACGAAATGATTTTCCGCTTAACCTTTTGAATAATAGTACAGACTAACAAAAGGTATGGGAAAAACGAAATCAGTAGGCATAAATGAAACAATGATGACATTAAGGGAGAAAATAAATGGAAAACATGTAAATTATGGAGGTTCAAAAGTCAAAGAAGCTTTAGTAGTTAGAAGGGAAAATAATAATGAAGGACTTACACACGACGATCCCAGCGGTTGCCGCCCACCTAACTATCCTTTCGCCATGCCCCATGCTTTCATCCACCGATGATCGACTGCTCACACAATTTCAGTCGATCAACATCACTCCTCTACGCCAAATCCTTTTAGTTTTTGAGGAAAACTCAAGATATTTTCGTGATATTTTGCTCCTTTGCTCTTCAAGAATTCGTCAGCACATGCGTTGAGTGGCCGTGTATTATGCCTCCGTGCTGAAGTCTGATGCTTAGGGTACGACGGCGCACTGACGTGTTACAACGGGCGACTTCTTGGCGCTTAGGGAGACGCGATCGGGCGTGAAAGTGTGAAAAAGTGCTGAGTATGTGGGCAGAAGCATAACATGCGAGTGAGTAAAAATCAAACTATTATCGACATTGTGATTCAAATCGATGAAAACCTATGATTTGTTTTAAATAGTTGATTGGTGCTTAATGCTAATATACTGTTCTATTAGATGAAAAAAGTACATGTAGATACATTTCTACTGTCATTGTCTGCAGCTCGCAACTACATTATTTAAAATGCAGTACAATCCAGCATAGTTAATACACCGTTTTTATCGGAATTTAAAAAGTGGTTTGATATCTGCAAGTTTTAACAATCTGCCCTGTTAGGGTTTAGGGGAGTGCGGCATGGTGGTTACATTGGTAAGGGTCGGGATCAGAGGGTCTGGGGTTCGGATCCAGCTGGTGGTTATGTTGTGTCCTTGGGTAAAGGCACTTCACCCCCCACTCGCCCCTCTCAACTCAGGAGTATAAAATGGGTACCGGCCGTACCGGCATTAGCAGGGGAGTAACCTGCGATGGACTGGCATCCCATCCAGTAAATCGAAATTATCCAAAGTCGTTCCATGCCAAGGATACCGAAGACAAACGTCGGTCTGGTGGGCCATTAGCTCGTGACAGACTTAATTAACTTTTTTAAGAGTTTGGTTTAATCTGAACCATTCTGTAATACCAAGCCACATGGTGCATGATAAGTTTAATAATCTAATTCCGTAATTATTGTAGTGTAGTGTAGTGTACCCCATAATTAAAAGCGATTGACCTATAACCAGTTTCTTCAGACGGGAAAACATGATCGTCCTTTTAGATGTACTACAAATTATACCAAAAGTTGTTTTCTTCAAGTCGTAATAAAGGTCATGATAAAAAGGTGACATTTTGCTTTGGTATATGACGCCTTTTGTCTACATAAAAAAAATGTGCTTGCTATCGTCATACGACGGATGATGAAACACTGCGCGTGTGACCGTCCTTTAATGGCGTTGCCCGCTCGCACTCGGGGGTTACATCGGCCGTTAAAAAACAAATCCATGGATTTTGCAATCAAGAATTAGCAACTCTTGCTCCAAAAATAGCATTGAGTTTCCCTGGATACGGCTTTGCAATTGCTGCTTGGTGATATAGGTAGTAGCCCTTAATGGCATAATAATTAGTGCACTTTCAAATCAGCTGTCCCGTAGAGATTTTCACGCCATCATCTTCCGGAGGCGGTATGTTTTCTTGTGGTTTTCCCCTCTGTTTGCTCAGGGGAAATTGCTGCCATAAATTGCTTTTGTGGTGCGCTGGATGATGGTCTTTATGTGCAGGTGCTCTTTTGAAAGGAACTGAGTTCGAAGACCTATTTTACTGAAACAAAACAACTTCCTGAATGTTTTAGTGTTTAAAATCAACAGTAGGCCTAAAAACATTTTATTGTATGCATTTCTCGAGGCAAAAAGGGATAGTCAATATTAAATAGAAATTGACGGGGTTTTTTTCTATCACTACAGGAAACAGCCGTCACTGCATATAGCCTAACTTGCCTTCGTTACTGTTGAGCTCATGAGCGTCCATGGTTAAATAAGTAAAGTCTGCGTGCGTGAAAAACTAATCCATTGGAAAATTCCAAAGACACAGGTCTCATTTATTTGGGTTTCAACAAAATCACACCAAGTGAACCGCCTCTACCGACCCCTCAATTCATCGATTGCAATTCGTAAAATATTAGCAACTCATTTGTTATTTGAATATCCACTATTATCAATGCATGTTTGCTCACTTCAGGGTATATCGTTCATCTAATGAAATTGTATCGTTATGCTCTGTAGTTTAAATAAAAGAACTATAGACATTCCGTTAATAATTCACCGTGTGATGAATGCTTGAATGACCATCCTTAATTAGCTCTATCTAGCAGCAAGAAGATAGGGTTCTATCCATTCAAATGAACAGTTCGTTTTATACCTTTGGCACAGTGCCAGGGAAAAAAACATGGCAGCCGCTCCATCAACGCCACTTTGACATTCGCGCCCTTTAATACTATTGAAGGCGTAATACGTGACCTAACTGGCAATAATCAAAATGTTAAAGTTGTCAGCGCCAACGTTGATCTCTCCACTAGGAGATTAGTGATGCGGACACGATTTAACTTCACCTCATGCATGACGATATCTCACAGCAATCGCCAAGATCGCAGGCCGCCCTCTATAACTATGGTACAACCTCTAGTCATTAATATGTATGCTTGTGTCGTCATCAGTAGCATACCTCACCTCGTCGCCGCGAATAGAGGTAGATATGAATATGCATTGTGTCGCCAAGATGGCCTCTATAGTAGGTGTGACCATTATTGCAAAAATGGCACCATTATTGATAATGGTCGCACCTTGGGGTAAGCATGAATATGCATGTTTACAACATTAATAAGCAACATTTTCCTTCAATCTTCATTGAAGATGTAACAATTACAAATTTACAGTACGTACAGCAACGTAATTGACTGCAGAGGGCGCCCTTTATGTCATTCAAATGATTACAACCAGTTCCACAGTGTTTTTTTTTTTTGCTTCTGAGTTCGAACACCAAATTAAACGTGCGACTGCACTGGTCTCCCCCGTTTGATGCTAAAGGCAAACACTTGCACGTGTTCATGCGCAAAATGTTCCAGCAATACGGGTTGGTAGCTCATCAAGGAGGTGTTCCAACGATCGAAAGCATCGCCGTGAACATTATGGCTAGGTCACATTTGGTAATAGAAAACACCAGAAACCATATCCAGCATTATGACGTAGAACCTGCGACACTCTACAGGTACAGCCGATCTACGGAGCCTCGGGCAGTGTACAAACAAACCCCGGGATCAAAGCAAATCAGCTAGAGACGGGCTTAATTTTCTGCCCTAATAATTTTTCCATCCGGCACCGGCATTTGTCAACATCGAAAATGTTAGAATTGCGCACGGAAAACGCTGCCATGGCAACGCGGACGAGAGAAAGTTCAACTATAAATGACAAAGTAAAGGCTCTCCTTAATTTTGCCCCTTAAGGCGCCACTGTAAAAAAAAATGTACGGTTCTACGGTGCATTGGGAAAAATCAGATAAATGTTGGTAAATGCTTCTTGATGCTTTAAATTAAGCAGATTTGCAAAATGGATATACAGATGCACAGTTGGAGTCTGTGGGATGATTGCTAGATCCATGATACTAAAATGCTGCATATAGACATTTGTGATTATAAAGAATGCCGTCTAGCCGCCGTGTCTCCGTTGTGTATTGCAGCTCCACTTGCTCCTTATAACGTTTAATTAAGTAAATAGTTTCTGGGGCTTTCAATTTTAGAATGTTGTAGACGACCACTGAAACGTCATGGTTACTTGCATGAAGAAATGAAAATGGTATCTCTGAAAGCTGTGACGGCCGGTGTTTTTTGGGGCGTGTTCCTGACTGTGAACTTCTATAGGTAGACCACAATACTTTGTTCACAAATTGGACGTTGTGGTCACGTTTTGCTAACTTTTAGCAAATGCTTCTCTTCCTTATTGCATGATTAATTGTGTATCTCTTAAAATGTGATTGGTGCAAAAGTATAGTCACATGAAAATGTGGGCCAAATATCAGGCAAAAACTGCTGAAATGTTTGGGCTGCCTGTCGATTGCCCGTAGGTATGACGTCACATGTAGTAGGGTCTATATGCAGAACAGAAAACCATTGTGTCATTAAAATTGAAATAATTCCATCAAAGTAACATCACATATAAAGCACATTTTTGTACAAGCCCTGGACTGTCTTAACCACAGGATCATGCTATCTACCTTTCTGAGTCTCAATTGTAATTTGTCTATGTGCCTCTGTATTCACGAAGCACTACAAATTGTCAATGATGATGAATTGTAATGAATCATGCATGAAGTTTCAGCTGTTGCTCATACAAGAACCTCGACTGGCGCGCGTCACAACAAAAAAAACACTCACGAAATGCCGGAGAAAATCCAGTATTTCGGTTGCCATGGTAATTCAGCTGTTTGCCGTGTCCGCGCCTGAAAAAAAAAATCATCGGCTTAAAAAAGATCAATCCACTTGATTGATATCTGGTAGTTGGGAAAACAGGAATCACGTACGTAAAGCGTAGGTTGGCCAGATGGGTATTATCTAGAGTCTAATAACACGCTATTTACAGATGTGCCCTTTAGAAGTTTGATTTCAGCAAGATAAATGAGAAAAAGGAACGACCTTTTTCTACCGGTAATGATATTGCAAACTACGGGTGATAACACCATGCTGTATGATGATGCACATCTTTTGGTACCTATTCTAGAGATCTCTGAACATTTTAATTCTTTGATCACGGCGCCCAGCTTAGCATGTATAAACAAGTAGAGAATCAATTAATGTTCGTCCAAGAGGGCCAACCTGGTGTCCTCTTTCCAACTTTCACACTGGCTGACTCACCGACTAACCGGGCAGTGTTATTGTATAGGATTACCCCGTGGCTAATCAATGGGCAAAATCCAGCCCACTGTGTAGACCAGTGAATATCCATTCAAAACCAAAAGGATAGAATTCTGTGCGCTGTTAGTCTGGAGCAAGCTTTACCAGCCTTGCTTAGAGTGCTATACCAAGATTCCAATCATGGGCTTGTAGCGTTCCTGCATCGTGTCTCTCATCTTATGGTCTATCACGCAGTCTTGGCGCTTATCTGGGCTCCGCAGGTCATAGAGTTAGTCTTAATACAAGCCATCACCACGCCGACACCTTTAACACCGATTTGACATGATTGTAATTACTGCTAGCGATCCACAAACTTTATGTTCAATTTCCCCCTTGTCCCTCGGGAAAATCTTGCCAGGTAACACGCTTCGCATATTGTGATTTGACTTATCTGAGGTCGAGCCGACCCGAAGGAACGAACTCGATCATTCATCTTTCCGTCGCGAGGTTTGTTTGTATAGATGTCACCAATTAAAATAATAACCTTTGACATTTTTGCTATATT